TGCAGTGTAGACACAGCCGTAGTGTTTGTCTTGGGTACTGTGTGTTGGCGTGTGGGCCCTGGGTTAGGCAGTCGTCAAGGCAGGGAAAATAATGATGTTCTGCCTCCTAAGAAAGGCCGTGACCATGGCTAAAGTCTTGGAAGAAGCTCCAGGGGCCGTGGACAGACCAAAAGGAAGGACTCGGTATTGGTAGTGATCTTGTCCTACCACAAACCTGAGAAATCTCCCGTGGGCAGGATGACTGGGTGTATGAAAATATGCGTCCTGAAGGTCTAGGGTGAGAACCAGACCCCTGTGTCCAGTGCTGGTAGAATAGTTGCAGGAGCCACCATTCTGAATTTGCTGCTGCAGACAAACCTCTTGAGCTTTCTGAGACCTAAAATTGGCCTCCTGCCCCGTTTTCTTGGCAGTTAGAAAGTAGTTGGAATAGAATCCTCTTCCCTGATATCGGTGGGAACCGGTTCTATTGCCCCCAGGCTGAGCAGCTTGTAACACGTCTCGTGGGAGGGGTCCCTGGAGAGGGACGCGGTACGGGGTTGGGTAGGGGGTATAGATGTACCAGGGATTGTGTAGCCTGATTTGATGATCTCAAGAACCTGTTTGTCCATTGTGATCGAGCCCCATTGATGATAAAAGGCTCTCAGGCGGGGATGGAAGGTTGTACTTGGATGCGCTGCATCTGTGGGGTGGTCGTTCAGACCCCTGACCAAAGCTTCAAATCTGCTGTCTATTTGAAGTGGACTGAGTGCTGGAGGACGGGTTGTGTTGGGTCCCCTTCTACTGGGGCGTTGCTTGGACCTGTGGTCATATGGCCTCTGCTGTTGCCTGTGATAGTTCAAGTCTCTTGGTCTGTGGTTTGGGATGAATCTGAGTCTTTTATTAGCCCGGGTGTTCATGCCAAAGTATGCAGTGTGGTGCGGGAATCTTTCAGTGAGTGTAACACCGCATCTGGTTTTGTAGCAAACGGTTGGTTCCTCTCAAAGGGAGGGTCCCTCCTCCTTTGTCTGTAATTCTTTCAGGACTCCCAATGATTGTAACCATGGGGCCCTGCGCATTACTCTTGCTGTTGCAGGGATCCTGCTGTATCCACCACATCCATTGCAGCCTGGAGAGCTGTCTTTGCTGTGGATTGGCTCTCTTTGATGATGGACTGGAGACGGGGTCTCTTGTTTTCAGGAAGGTCCAGTAAGAGATCTTGTAATCTGGAATAACTGGCATGACCATAGTTAGGCAGAAGAGCCATTGAATTTGATATCCTGCACTGGAGGCTGGCGGAGGAGTACACTTTCCGGCCAAAGAGATCTAAGCATTTGTGCTCTTTCTCTTGAGGTGTAGATTTGTATTGGGAATGTTTTGATTTGTGATGAACCAAGCCCACAACCAATGAGTTTGGGTGCGGATGTGAGAATAGAAAATCCATCCCTTTGGCTGGGACAAATATTTTCTGCCCACTCTGTGGTTGGTGGGGGGAGTAGAAGCCAGCGTCTGCCAGAGCACATCCGATGGTTCCACGATAGACTCATTAATGGGCAATGCTACCTTTGATGATGAAGCCGGGTGGAGTATTTTGAGTAATTTATATGGTTTGTCCTGCACTGAGCCATTTGAATAATTCTTGAAATTGTTTTAGGTCGCCTGTAGGTGGAGAGGGTGCAACTTGGAAAACTGCCTCCTCTGGAACAGGGGAAGACGGCGGGACCTGTGAGGAGCTCTCGGAATTGGACTGAGGAAAGTGCTGGGTCTGCCTGGGTTGTTACTGAGGGATGGGCACTAGAAGGTGATGAATGAGCCGTGGTGGCTGGAGACCCTGAAGCTGTAAGCGCTGGTGTAGACGCTGGGGTATCTCATGAGCGGTGGTAATGGAAGTAGCGGGGGCAATATTGGTACCATTGTTCCCAGAGAGGCCACTGAGGTTGAAGCTGTTGCGGTGGATACACCCATGGGTGGTTAAGCCATGGAACGTGCGGGGGCGGTTGAAAAGGATGGTGTCGGGTGGAGCGTCATGAAGCTTCTGATCCCACTGGGGATGAGACAAAAAACGACTCCCCTGCCTGCTGCCATGTTTAGCTCATGGTGACGCTGGTGTGGGAGAGTGGAAAAAAACTTCTTCACTCTGTCTGTACGGGCTACAGTGAGGTACCACTGGGGAGCACAGTGAAAGGACTCCCTGCACCGGTGGAGAGGGTGCACCTGACTTGTAAGTAAGCTTTTTGTAAGAAAGTGATGCGTCTCTTTAGCTGCTTTCTTATGCTCCGGTGCCATTGCTGGTTTAGCTCCGTCTGCCAGGAACTGGCTCATTCAGTGCTGGGGTGCCTGTGGGTGCCGGCGGTGGCGTATCCTGCCAGTGCCAGCTAGTTAGCTGCATCGGAGGGGCCGAGCATTTCAGTTCTGACTCAGCTCTGATAGCTGAGTTCAGTCTTCACTTATTCATGGAGGTGGAAGCATGGAGCACTGGGGAATGGGTGGCCCAGGATGTGGTGAGCAGTGATTGTGCCGCAGAAGCCTGCAGCACTCGAGAGCCTCTGTGGGCGATGAACTTGCCCTTGCACAGGGCGCTGAGTGTGCCCGAGTGTCTGGGGACTTATCCCTGAGAGGCTGGAGGGATTTCTCCCAGAGGAGGTTCTTCAGCCTCATTCCACACCGATTCCCCGCTCTGGCGGGCATGCTGTGACAATGGGGCACTTTTACGTATGTGGCTTTTGCCCAAGTATTTAACACAGGATACGAGTCCGTCAGAAACTGGCCTTGAGTCCCGACATGAATCACATTTCTTGAAGCCAGGAGAGCCTGGCATGTAGAACGAACGTGAGGAATCGGAGCTTGGAGAGAAACGGAGTGGAGAAGGGGGAAAACTGGGGAAGCGTTTTTGTTGTCGTCGGTGGTGGGTCTTTTAAAGAACTACGTGAACCTGCTCTTACACTGACTAAAACTATTGGCAGCTGGTAAAGTAACTACACTGCTTTTCAATTTCCTGTCAGACAGGAGAGCACTGCTGTGACTCCGTCTTCCGCTGAGGACAGTAGAAAAAGAACTGAGGGAGGATCACGCCGCATGCCTATCTACAGGCATAACCAGTGTGAGACGGACTGTGCAGGCGCAGTGCGGGAAGGCCCTGCTAGGCTCAATCTCCGACCAGCAGCGCAAGGACGCACGGAGACCCGAGTAGAGCACCCACAGGGACACTGTTCGGAGGAGAACTGCTGCTGTGTCTGTGGGTGCGGAAATCTCACGAACCGCTGCTCCCACAGAAACGGTGACGTTACTGCTGCAGTGAGTTCTGCAAATCACAGTAACACCCCCAGGCACCTGCAAAGGCCCCACCTGCCTGCCTAGAGCGAAGGCTCCAGCATCCCTTCCCTTCCCTTCCCTTCCCTTCCCTTCCCTTCCCTTCCCTTCCCTTCCCCCCTCCGTGCTTTCCCCGCCCCTCCCCCACCACAGAGCCCCAGCACCCCTTACCCAGGCTGCTCGCCGTCACCTCCCACTGGAAAGTTTTCCCTTCGTCTGCACAGAGGCAGCTGGTGTAGGCGCCGTCCTCACCCGCCTGCACCCGGAACTGCGCCGACTCCGCCAGCGTCACCCGCACCTGTGGGCCCGACACGAGAGCCCCTTAGGGCTGGGGGGGCCGCGCTCACACGCGCCAGCTCCAGGCCGAGAGGGGACCCCCTGAGGCTCAAGCCCCGCTCGCCGCATTGTGCTGAGCCCAGGGGTCACTGCGGGGTGTCTGGGTCACAGATAGGAGCTGCTGGTGCCACTCGCTGGCCTGAGCCACTGCGCAGCCTCCAGTCCCAGCTCGCCAGCCCCAGCAGCTCCGCCATTGTACTGAGCCCAGGGGTCACTGCGGGGTGTCTGGGTCACAACCATGGGGTACTGGTGCCAGTCACTGACCTGCGCCGCTACCCAGCCCCAAGTCCCAGGTCACCAGCCCCAGCAGCTTGGGCAGGGCAGCCCCGGGCGGTGCTCACCTTGATGCACTGCTGCAGGGAGTTGGAGACGGTGGCCTTTAGGGTGAAGGCCTCTCCCCGGACCACGGAGTACGGCAAGGCCAGCTCCACAAAGAAGGGCTTGACGACTGTGAGGGTGGCCGTGGGGGAGAGCCCAAAGCCCCCCTCCGCCGTGCAGAACATCCCGGCTTTCCACTGCGTGAGGGTGTCGGGCACCGAGAGCAGGACGTCCGTCGAGCCCCCCTCGCTGGGCACGGACAGACACACACAGAGCGTCAGACGTACCCACCCCGGGGGGAGCACCACGGGCAGAGCCAGCAGAGACGTCCCGGCCCGACCCTCCCCTGGGCTGGGGCCCTGAGTCAAGTGCTCAGAAACAGGCTGGTCCCAAGTGTGCACGAGGGGGGGAAGCGCGGTCAGCGCCCCCAGCTCGCCTGCCCCTGCCCCACCCCAGCTAGCGCTGGATCCTGCCCTGCCCTGGGGCTCCTGGGCTGGACTCAGTGTCCCATGGGAGAAGGGTTGCCAGATGGTTTCAACAAAAATACTGGATACACTTGACATTACATCACAATCTACATTACATCTGACTGAGAAAATACTGGACACTTCTATTTTCTCAATTATAGTTTCTCAATTTTTTCGCCAAACAGAAAGCTCAAATATTGGACT